TATCCTGAAGGTTACAGAGAGCCATTAAGATTTTAGCCAAGAGAATGACATGATCAGATTGTATTTAAAAAATAATTTAATTAGTAGTATACAGGATGAGTGATATGGAGGTCAAGTTAGGAGGCTATTTATGTTATCTGGTAAACTATGATAAGGGCACAGTATCAGAGAGCATGCAGAGAAGAGGACAAATTCAAAAGATGCAGGTGATTGCTACAATGTAGGGAGTAAGGAAAAGCAGGGAGTCTAGAATGATTCCCAGGATTTTTGGTTGGATGACTATGTCCATAGTCATGTCATTGCTGAGGGAATGTAGAATGAAAGACAAATTAGAGAGGAAATACAATGAATTCAACCTGGGGCATGCTGAGTTTGAGATAGTTGAGCAGTTAGAGGTGTCTAATAGTACACTGACACAGATGGTGTTACAAGTTCAAGTTGGTCATCGGATACATAGAGCACAAATAGGCTTTAAGCTAATTCTATGTTTACTTAACTATGTAGACGAATACAAGACCAAAGATACAGAAGAGCAGCATCTTTCATTGGGAGGCCAGCAGCTCCACAGATTCTCTTGCCCCTACATTAATGTAGGTTGCATAACACTGTTGGTACAAGGACATGTGTAGACAGGTGTGTGGGGGTCACCTCAACACAGACAAGTAAAGCTTTCAGTTCCAATTGATTTTTTGTGCCATTCTAATTATGCATGCCCAAGGCCTGCAGCTAGCTCATAGCTTCCACCCCAGGTGTAGCCTTCTAAAGCAAATAAAGCAGACACAAATCCCCACATTTATCTTAATACTATAATTACCAAGAAAATAGTGATCTCAAGGTTATTCTTGGGCAGGCAGCTCCAGCATATGGGTGTGAAATGCATGAGAGAGGTGTGGACCAGGGACAGAAATATATATTTTGGGGTCTGAGATTTGGGTCCAACTTCTTGCTACACCACTTAGATTATGTGTGACTTTGTCAAGTGGGACAAGTTCTCCAAGTATGAGTGTCTTCATCTTTCAGGCAGCTTAATCCTATCTACTGTGTGGAGACCCTGTGAATATTAACCATGACAGTGAATAAAAAGGTTCCTAGTACATGGTAGGTTCTCAATAATTATCAGTTTCTGTTCTCTAGAGGAAAAAAGATTTGATGTCAAGTGTGGGGATGAGAGGTAACAGGTGATAAAACAGTAACTGAACCTCATAAGTGCAAAAAAATCTAGTTCAAAAGCAGTAGGTTCTTTGTGCTACTCTGTCTGCTCTGCAGATAGAAGTATTTAGACAATGATTGTTTTCTTCCACCAAAACTGTCCAAATAAAGTTAACTTCCTTTTCCAAAAGCCAGGCAAACAAAGAAATGAAGATTCCCACCTGGTAAGAAGCCTGAAACCAAAATTTAAAATGCCTTACTCTCCACATTTGTTTCAGGCCATTGATCATTTTTCTTTTGTTCAAGACAGATACTGAGCGTCTTTGGGATGATGGTGAGTAAAATAATGTTCTTCTCATTTAGGAACCGACGAGAAAACGCTCATCAGCATTCTGACTGAGAGGTCAAACACACAGCGGCAGCTGATTGTGAAGGAGTATCAAGCAGCATATGGAAAGGTAGCATTTGACTAACATGATAGTCAGTAAAGAAATAATCATTAATGTACCATGGTTGCTCCCACATGATTATGCCCACAAATCTTTTGTTTCAGGCAAGTGTAGCAGAAGGTGCCTTGTGCATTCAGTCAAGAGCTTGGAATCTGAGTCCTGGTTTTGCCTTTAACTAGCTGCATGGCCTTGGGCATGCTATTTGATCTTTCTGGGCCTCAATTTCTTCACCTGTAGAATAAGGGGGGTTGTCTTAGATCAGTGGTTCTAAACCAACAGTGATTTTGCTCCTCATAGAACATTTGACATGAATGGGGACATTTTCATCATCACAAATGGGATGAGAGGGGAGATGCTTCCAGCATCCAGTGGGTAAGAGGTCAGGGGTGCTACTAATCATGCCACCATGCACAAGACAGCCCCCACAACAAAGAATTTCTGGCCACTATCTGTCAAATCCTGGCTTAGATGATCTTTAATTTCTCTTCTAACTTTAAAATATTTATGTTATTATTGGTTTAATTAATTTAGCAAGTGAAAATTGACTGAGTACCAGAAACTAACTATATAAAAACAAGTTAAGACTTGGTCTTTGCTACAGTTTATTTGTTCAACACCTGTTTATTGAGTACCACTTCTCAGCAAGGCAACACATTCATGTACAGGTCATACAAATGATCCATGGGCCTTTCAGTATTTCCAAAATTTGGAGGAAGGATGGAGGCAGAGGTCACAAGCATTTCTCACAGTGGAATAGAACAAGAGCATGTGAAATAAGATTCAGTTGTAAAGTCTTGGGTTGGGGGCAGATGGTAATGGAACTTAGCATTTAGGTAGGAAAAACACCATGGCAGTTACAACAAAGCTAGTGACACTTGGCTCCATCCCATTCATTTCAGCAGGAACATGCCCCGGCTGTGCCACCCGGTGGCATGGTAGTGTTGGTCTGCACCCACACTGGCATAGCAGACTGTGAGGCTGCCAGCCTCCATTTCAGAGCTGAAAATAATCAGGGGCAAGAAAAAATATTATTCAGTGACACGCCTTTGAATGTTGAAAATAAAAAACATGTTACCTGCCTTTAAGCAGGGGAGATCAACTGTACTTATGTATTATGTGAAAGCAGTGCCAAAGGTCAATGTCAATAAGTAATGTTCACCTCATTGCCACATTTAAGGTTTCTCTGCTGTTATTGCTAGGAAACTGCTTCTAATGCCTCTTAGTTCCATGCTGTCACCAGAGGCAAATGACCAACCACTGTCCTCCCTTCCCCTTTCTCTTTGGGGCTCTTTGGCAGCCACTGAGAAGCAAGGCACCCAGGAATAGAACACCTACCGATGAAACTGGGGGTGAATTTATAAGGGCTTCTTCTCCTCTTCCTCATTCCTTCCTCCAAAATAAGCATTGAGAGCACTGGGGACCCAGGAACGCATTTGAATATGCAGTTCCTAGCTGTAGCACTCAAGCAACTCTCCCCTTTGGCTTTCCTTCAGAGGGCCTCTATAAAACAGAACATCTTGGAAGCAATCATAAGATGCAGATTAATATTCATAGAAATATTTTCAACATTTCTGTATTCCCTGTGGATGAGCATGTTTTCATGTGATTTTGATACATAAGTTCAAAATGATACTAGGAGAGGGCCGGCCCGGTGGCGCACTGGAGAGTGCGCCGCTTGAGAGCGCGGCGGCGCTCCCACCGAGGGTTCGGACCCCATGTGGAGACCGGTTCCCACTCACTGGCTGAGCGCGGTGCGGGCGCAACACCGAGGGTTGCGATCCCTTTGCCGGTTTTGCCGGTCCCCGGTGCGGGCATGACACCGAGGGTTGCAATCCCGTTGCCGGTCAAGTAAAAAAGACAAAAAGGAAAAAAAAAATGATACTAGGAGACTGCTGAAAGAGAAAGGAAAAGTATTTCATGCTTTCCTCTTTGGGGTTTTTTTATTTTAGGAGCTGAAAGATGACTTGAAGGGTGATCTCTCTGGCCA